GCTGCCGGGCTGCATTCCTGGCTGTGTGCAAGCTGCAACTGCACACGCATGCGACATTTTTCAGTGACATTATCGGCTAAACAGGCCAAAAAAAGCCAATTGCCAATAATGTAAATTTTCCTTTTATCAGTGCTAATGCAATATGGACCAATATATTGGTGCATCTCTAATTATTTCAGTCAGGTGACTGCAGTAAATAGCCAGGAAGGTGACTCCCTGTTTTAGTGCCTAGTGCTGATCTCCAAGTGCTTTTGAGGTGCAGTGCACTGAGGGAATCCAGGGAGCAGTTCTGTTTTCATCCTGTGCTTGGCCACTTTGGAGATTTGCTCAGTGCTGTGTACCTTGTAGTCTCTTAACTGAGCTTTGTAGAGGGGAATTTATTTCTTCCAAGACTCAGCACACATTATATTAATACAGTACTTTATGATCTTCTGATTTCTTTTTTCAGATGAAGATAAAAAGAAAACCAAGAAGAAGAAAAAGAAGCACAGAAAGTAAGGGACATCTCTATTGAAAGTGCTGCAGTTTTGATTCCTTTAGGGGGCAGCACCAAAGCTTCCACCTCTGTTTCTCTTATTAATAGCAGCCTAAGTGCATGTTTCAGCTTTAAACATGCTGAAGCTTAGTTAGCAAAGGACCCTAATCCAGACTTGGAAGAGCTGCCTCCCCAAAATGGGGTTATGTCACTTGTGATATCACATGTTGGATCAGGGTGTTCTGGGACTTATTTAACAGTTAAATACCAAAAAGTGGGAATTCAGATTTATTCCCTTGGTGTTAAAAAAACAACAACAGATTTCTTCAATCTGGTCTTCTAGCCCTTTCCTGCCTCCCCAGTAGGCCTGTTAAGGAGCATAGAATCATAGAAAATTAGGCGCGGAAGGGACCTCGGGTCATTTAGTCCAACCCCCTGCTCAAAGCAGGACCATCCCCAAGTAGATCATCCCAGCCAAGGCTTTTTCTAGTTGGCTTTTAAAAACCTCCAAGGATGGAGATTCAGTAACTGCTCTGGGTAGCCTGTTCCTGTGCTTTACAACCCTTCTAATGGGAACGTTTTTTTTCTAATATCTTACCTCAACTCCCCTTGCTGCAACTTGAGACCGTTGTTCGTTGTTCTGTTATCTGCCACCACTAAGAACAGTCCGTCCTCTTCCGAGCTCCATCCTCTTTCGAGCCCCCTCCCCTTCAGGTAGTTGAAGGCTGCTGTTAGATCCCCTCAGGCTTCTCTTCTCCAGGCTAAATAAGCCCAGTTCCCTCAGCCTTTCTTCAGAAGTCATGACCCCCAGCCCCCTCACCATTTTTTTGCCCTCCGCTGGATTCTCTCCAATTTGTCCACATCCTTTCTATAATGGGGGGCCCAAAACTGGACACGGTACTCCAGGTGTGGCCTCACCAGTGCCAAATAGAGGGAAATAATCACTTTCCTTGATCTGCTGGCAGCACTCCTACTAATGCAGCCCAGTATGTCATTAGCCTTCTGGGCAACAAGGGCATACTGTTGGCTCATATTTAGCTTAATGTCCACTGTAACCCCCAGGTTATTTTCTGCAGAGCTGCTGCTTAGCCAGTCAGCCCCCAGCCAGTACTGGTGCACGGGATTGTTCTCCCCGAAGTGCAGGACTGTTTGCTTCTCTTTATTGATCCTCATGAGATTTCTTTTGGTCCAATTCTGCAATTTGTTGAGGTCTCTCTGAATCTTAGCCCTACCCTCCAGCATATCTACTACTTCCCCAGGCATAGTGTCTGCAAACGTGCTGAGGGTGTATCCCATCTTCCAAGTCATTGATGAAGATATTAAACAAGACCGGCCCCAAGACCAACCACTGGGGCACTCTTATTTGATACTGGCTGCCAGCTAGACATTGAGCCATTGATTTCTACACTTTGAGCCCAGTTTTAAAAGCAGGCCCTGCTGGGATATGAGCCCAGTGTCTCCTGTGTACCAGAAAAGTGCTTTAACCAACTAAGCATCTCTAACTTTGTAATAGGAAAAAGTCGAAGAAGAAGAAGAATAAGAGAAGTCGTAAGGAATCTAGTGATTCCAGCAGTGAAGATTCGGAGGATGAAGCGCTTCAAGGGGAAGATCTCTGGATTGAGAGATCAAGTAGGTTCCTTCAGTTCAAAACTCCTGGGTATTCTTTTCAGTGACATGGCTCATATATTGACACTATATCTTGACACTATATATTATTGACACTGTAACTGACATGATTTTTTTTGTCCTGTATTTTCAGAAAAATGAAGAGTTCCAATTGTAATCTTCCTCATTATTTGTGTATTGCAGAAAATACAGAAGCTGACAGTTTGATTGGGCCAGAAGCTCCAAAATCGCATGCCTCACAAGATGACAGGCCTTTGAAGTAAGCAATCGTGTGCAACTTACACAAACAGATCATGTCAACTAAATTAGCACAAAAATTGCCTTTCCACCTTTTACCTGGTTTCACTATGCTAAAAAATGTCTTCCTGGGCTTGTTTTAGTTGTTACTGAGCTGTCGTATACTGTTACAAGATGGTAAACACTGCTGTGAGGCAAAGGAATGCTTTTACAGAGACTTTAATTTCAAAGCTGGGCTGATTCTTTTATTCCAGTATCAGCAAAAACACTCTGTTGCAAAATTTAACATTTGTTACTTGTGTTGCAACAGAAGGGCAGAGTAACTATGTACCAGTATCTTTCTTTCTCCTAGTCCCTGAAATGCGGTGACTGCATCCTGGCTTACCATTAAAGCACATTCCCTATTGTTGCTATTACTTAGATTTCTATCCCCTTCTATGCAGACGGGCTTAAAATCAGATTTGGTGAGCCAAGTAGCTCTTATTAGGGGAAATTGCTATAATGTAGAAACAAACCAGAAAGCAAGAAATACTGGGAAAGTAATGAGAGGACTGGTCATGGCGTGTAGAGAAAAGGGCACTCTTTTTGTTTTTAACTCTTGTGCTCTCCCTGAGTTGGCACTGATGAAATTCTTTTCCTGTCTTTAAGTTATGGCCATGCTTTGCTGCCTGGTGAGGGTGCAGCTATGGCAGAGTACGTAAAGGCTGGAAAACGCATCCCCCGAAGAGGTGAAATTGGCTTGACCAGTGAAGAAATTGCATCATTCGAGAGTTCTGGCTATGTAATGAGCGGTAGCAGGTAGGTTTCTCAATGTGTGAGGTTGCCTGTAGCTTGAGAAAACCAAGGCCTTGTGCCTTTTTTTTTTTTTTTTTTTGCCATGCAGTGGGTGGGGAATGGGATTCTAAACTAAGAGGGAACATCTCCCAAATCAGTTGAAAGAAGAAGAAAAGTTGCAGCTTGTGAGCACTGTGCGAGCATGAAAGTTAAATTCCCTCTCACTGCAAATCTAGTTACGTATCACTGGTGACCTACAAGAAGTCAGTGATACGTGTGGGGGGTTTTTCCAGAGGGGAAAATACTTTGCAACCCTTCCTCCCTTGATTTTCTTACACTTGAAAATGAGCAGGTTGCATCATTGTACGTCTGATGTTTAGACCTTGGGGGAGGGTCAGCGTGGGGCTTCCTGACAGCTTAGTACAGGTTGGTATGTTGGCTTTGCACCAGGTGGTAGGGAAATGTTCTGTGGCAGATGAGAGATGCAATGTTCTTGTCCTCAGGCATCGGCGAATGGAGGCCGTGCGTCTGCGTAAAGAGAACCAGATCTACAGTGCGGATGAAAAGAGAGCTCTGGCATCTTTCAACCAGGAGGAGAGGCGGAAGCGAGAGAACAAGATCCTGGCGAGCTTCCGGGAAATGGTCTACAGAAAAACTAAGGGCAAAGAAGACAAATAGATATCCTTGTGGGTGGGCAGCACTGACTGCAGTACACAGCAGCTAACCTGCTCCTGCAATTTGCAAGGAGTTGTCCAGTGGTATAGTGCCTTCTGTCTGACCTTCCGGCCCTCTGGAATAGATTGCTTGTATCAAGGAAGTACAATTACTCATGGATAGTTTGCTTGAACAGTTCATTCCCCAGCTGCAGGGAACTGCCATAAGTGGCAGTACAGAATCTTGGGTAATGAAAACGAGCAGCACAAAGGGAAGGTTTGTGATCATAGTGATGGAAATGTGCTGTATTAGAGAGTGAATCGGACACAGCAGACTGGCACCATCTGCCTCAGGAGGGACGGGTCACCCGCTGGTGATATGGATAAATGCCATTTCCCATTTATTTTGACCAATGGCTGTAGACTTGTCCATCATAAACTGGCTACTTGTAGTAGCAAAACCTAGGGAATTCCTGAGCTTCTGTTTAGGAGCTAAGTTTATTGATTTATTACATATTTCTCACAGGTTCTTTAAGTATCTGCTTTCGTTTACTTATCTTTCTCAGAACAAAACACTTGGATTGTTTGTACAGCTACACTTGTATATAGAAATTTGTAATTAAATATGGATCGGCTTCCATTACTTGCAGATAATTCTATTGCAATCACTGTATGCTGTCAAAGTAGTAATGTTGAGGGTTACTACTGACCTAGAACCTACAAAAGCCTGGGGGCTGACTAGCTGGCCTCCTTTTGAGGTATGCTGTACGTTGATCTCAGTGTAATAATAGAGCTGGTAGAAGCCCTGGACATACAGAGGCAGGAACTGCAGATGCCTATTTCCATTCTGAATTTCTTGGTTCTTGGAGACATTCCAGAACTAACCCTTCACTTTACTTTAATCTGGGACCTTGACTTCCTTTGTCTGAGCAATATTACATTGCTTTTAAGATCTGTGTTGGAACGCGTTTTCCAGATAATGCTTATTCAGTGTAACCTTACTGAGTCATCATCAGGCATGTATTTGAGAATAGCACTCTCTTTATATGCTTTAATTTACGCTTCCTGAATTTATTTTTTTTTAAATAAAGCATTTTTCTGAGGCTTTTTTTTTTAAATCCCTGGGTTTGGTGTGCTTGTGGTGGAAATACTTTATATGTTTCTATAAACACCTACAAAAAATCCGATTACCACTTTCACTGGTGTTTTGTAACCTTTGTTTAATCAAACATTCAACTGAATCTAGCTGTTTTCCTCCCTGTCAGCTCGGCTGGCCTCAGCTCAGTGACTGAAGCCAAGGCAGCTCTGTGTGAGTTCAAGGGTCTTTCAGGCAGAGACAGTTGGAAGGTCAGGGCCTTCAGGTAATTACTGTCAGCTTCACCTGAAGTTAACACCTTTTCACTTATGAATGTATTAATCATGTGTAAGATATAAACTACTGTTAGAGAAGAAAAGGTCCCTGTCCATCCTGTCACCCCCCAGCACCTCCTCCGTCACACACACACACTCTCATAGTGTGCCTGTTCTGTCTTTAACAAAACACTGCCAAGCCTTGAGCATCCTGGAAGAGTGGATTTTTAATCTGCAGTATATACTTGTTTAGAAGGTTATGCTCTCCATGAGGATCATTTTGCTTTCAATTATATCCTTGAGCCACTTTTCCCGAAAGCGACACCGTCCTGGTCTAGGGCAGAAAAGGTAGGACACGTGTTAAGAACAAAGGTCACAATTAGGTGAAGACAAAGTTCAGGAGCTATGAGTGACCTTTGAATGCAGGTTGGTTTTTGTCTTGGTAGCACATAACTTTCTTTTCATAAAGCCAGCATTAATCTATGTGACTGGTGGAGGTGGCTGTGCCATGGAGTCTATCAGTGCTAATTAGCACGAGTTAGGCTGGCTAGAAGTGACTAACAAGATTTTACCCCAATTTCCTTAAGTTAGAAGGACAAGGGTTTTTCAGGAGTTGCGCTAGTCAACAGCAGCCTTTTCTGCTGCCTAGGAAGCAATGTCCTGAATTATGCTGCTCTTAAAATCCCTATTGAGACTGATAAGGGGAAGCTACAGCAATGTGCTCCAATGCAGCAGCTCACACCACAGCCTACACACACAAGAGATCAGGTTCTCAGCCCTACTTTGCTCCCATCATGCCAGGGAGAATAAAAAGGGCCTGAAACCCTTTGGAGGGCGGGGAGGGTAGTCAGTAGATACAGGTCAACCAGAATAACTTCACACCATCATCACCACTCAGTCTGGGGGGGGAGCAGGGACAGTAAGGGCATAGCCCTGGTGGGACTATTGCCAACTGGTATAATGTAGAGTAGCCAACCAATGCTGGAGCTAAGACTGAGCCAGACAGAATTAGCAAACTAACTGACTCCTGATAGCGGCCGTCACCAGTATACCGTTTCTAATGCAATCAGGATAGCTGAAATCAGCCATGTTCTAAGCACATCTTAAATAGTTTCATTGCTTAAAAAACCTGTAGAATAAAATATACCTGTGAATCAGCCTATTGGATTCCAAGATGAAGAACACCTCAATGGGCAAGTTCTGCAATAGATGAAAGGACAGTTTTCACATTTGCTATAGCACAATTTCAAAGTAGGGATTTAATTCAACCAAAAAATTCCACGATTTTGGAATGCTTTGCATAGCGGGACAGCAATCTACCGCTATATAATTTGATAGGCATTAGAATAAGTGTCTGCTTGCAGTTCTAACCCTCCATGGAGATTACAAATCAGACATTGGAGTAGATCATTGCTACTGTGTTACTGAATGCAAAACTTTCAGAAACTGGAAACACTCTGGATTGGACCTAACCAAAAGGGCAGACATTAAAAAAAGAGTCAAATGTATATCTGGAAACTTTATTTCTTTGGATTTGCAGCCATGTGATTATCTCCTCCCCCTCATGTTAAAGAATGCATATGGGTGGATAATATAACATCAGTTAGAAGAAATCAGTAGCAGACACAAAGACTGAGGGTAAGGGGGAGCAAAAGGTCATTAGCAGAGGGAGAGATTCAAGCCATAATCTTGTCTGGAAAGGACATTGAAATAGTGAAGTTCAGAATGGCGCAGCTAATTTCCAATGTGAACTCTTGCAGAGTAATCATTTAAACTATGGCTTTCTCTCATTCCACAGAGCAAGGGAAATTAGATTTCTACTGCTACATTCTCAAAGGGTGATTGAGTGTTACTTACAGGAGGTTTAATGTTGGAGATCTCTACAATGAAGTAGATGCATGCAGTCGCTTGAGGGATGGGCTTCCTGCATGTCGGGATGCTCCAACGGACCCGGTAATGGTACCTCTGGCTGTACTTCAGTTGTTCTTCCTTGAGGAAATCTGACCAGTGAAGCCAGCTTTCATGGAACTCCCAGGTCTGCTGAACACACACCACACTGTAAGAGATCCCCTCTCGCTGGGACAGCTGACTTAAGGGAAGTGCTAAAAAGAGATCAAGTCACTTTTGTTTAACACTGTTAAGCAAATCATGAATGAGAAGGCACAAGGAAGTTAAAGGGCAATTTGGACCAGAGGAAGAGGGAATGTTTCTTGTGCCCTTGACAACTTCTGCCACCTGTTACTGTGACAGTTAGGGTAACAAGGTTCAGGGAAGAATTACATGCACAGAGAACAATGTCTACACTAAGGGATGGTGGATCAAAGTACAGGCTTGGTGCTGCAGCGCTTCTAAGGCAGCAGATCGGGCAGGAGAAGGGAATTGGAATGGGAGGGAGGGACCTCCGCTGTTACAGAACATGCACAGTGCTCATTTTCAATACTACAAAGCTGTGATGCTAGCCATGGCACTCCGAGGGGGAATCACTGGCTGCAGAAAGCTGTATACCTTTCCACACTAGTTCAGTGGGTCCCTTTGCTTCAGGCAGACTTGCATCCTTTTTTGATTGGTTCTCAAGCAGAGAACACCACAACACCTTGGTGGGGGCTCGAGATTCTTTTAAGGGCACTGCATAACATTAGCGCTGTTCAGCTTGCAAACACCCATATGTGATTTCACAAGATACACCCAGAGATTTCAGACAGGAATCCATAGTGTCAAAGCCACCCAGCCCTGTTGTGGGCTTTCTGAGTTCCTTGCAACAGCAGGATTGCTCTGGTATTTTTCCATAGTCTAAAATGGAGTGAGAGCTGATGGATTCTGAGCAGGGCCTCAAGTCTCAAAATGTTGAGAACTGCTGGTCATAGCAGTGGTCTGACTGCCCACAGAAACTCGTGTGCAGTGAAGTAGGCTGTGAATTTACAGTGCCCTACCTCCCTTTGTGGGTGCTGTCTAGTACACACTGAAATAATCTGGGTGCAATCAGTTTGAAGGAAACTACTAAACCCTTGCTGTACACTTGGTGTCCATAATGCAGAGTAGCTGCAACAGTGGGATTTCACACCTGAGTTTGGGGCACATCTCTAAGCCCCAAACTGCTAACCCCAGGACTTTGGGATTAGCTGGTAGAAGCAACCAGCATGTGGAAGACACCCAGGAGTGGAACAAGAAAGGACACATGAGCCAAGAGGAAAGGGTTCCATTGAGTAGAGCACTGAAGTTGGGAAAAGGGTGGAAAAGAAGCCCTTCAGAAGCTCTGGAAGGGCTTTGGGAGCTGTCTGGAAACAGAACTGACTCCAGATGAGCTAACTTTCAGCCTGAAGCAGGTTTTCCAAGCATGTATGCTGTTAGGCTGTGACAACTGAGAGTCAAGCTGAGAAGCTGAAACCCCTCCAATGCACAAACTGTAAGGATCAACTGCTTCACAGACACAGGGATCAAGGGCCCTGGGTCTGCATTTGGGGTGTCTCTGTTATCCAGAGCAGTTGCTTCAGAAATAAATTATACATGAACTATTGAGAGCAGGCCCTGAGGGTGCAGTC